TCTCTCTCTCTCTCTCTCTCACACACACACACACACACACACACACACACACACAAGGATGAAGAAAAGCAACAACGACGTCCAAGAAAGGATCGTCTGTTTATACGCCGCAAACGCCACACGCATCATCACGCATAACAAGCATGCATGCCGACGTAAAATGTATCAAATAAGACTGACGGCGGGGGTGGGAAGAGAGAGGTAATAAAGGCACCACCTCTTTCCCCAAGCACGTTGAACGTCGCCAGGCCACATGCCGATCTGACAACAGCCTCCCCGAGCTTTGCGCTGCTCTTCCTGTTCTCTAACTTACCGCGCAACCTGCGCTCGGATTCTTTTCTTCTTCTCTTGTCTAGCTAGTAGTCCTTCGTGTGCCGTGTTGGTTGGTTGATGCTTACGTGGCGTCTTCACGACCGCGTTCGGTGCGCCATAACTCTGGACTGATGATTGCGTGCCATCCTCACCTGCGCTATTGAAATGGTGATTCAGACAGAGGAGCGAGATACATACGTATAAAGACAAAGATTGATAATGCGCCTCGCTCCACTACTGACCAAATGAGCAAAATGTGAGTAAATCTTCAGCTAGAAAACAGGGAAACATACACCGCCACCATTTTTTGTCTCTTGTGCATACATCATAGAAAGAGACGGGGATGGTCAAATCACCCGCACAGGATGGCGGGACCGGACTCTACCTTCGTCCCGACACGTGTCGACGTCCCCTGCTAACACTGCCTCCACGCTGGCGAGCGACCGCCAAATGAAGCCGATGGACCTGCAGCAACCATTGGAATAGGAACTGAAAAAGAAACAATAATCTGATTCGTATATTCAGTTAGTGAAGCCTGTTTTCCACATACTTGCAGCTCCAACGTCTGGTCCTGGGCGTCAAGAAGTGAAAGGCACCCCAAGAGCCTAGGTCAGTGGGTACACCCATGAACTGTTGAAATACAGACCTGTGTTGGAATCCAGATGATGGAACTTGAGGGGTAAAACCGACTAGGTTGTGGACAAAGGCGGGGAATGATGGGCAAAAAGAGGAAGAAAAAAAAGGCGGGGAATGTTGGTGCCTGGGTCCAGTCGAGATAAAATAGAAAAAACATCAAGCCTTGATGATGTCCGATTGCTCAGAAGTGAGTCATAGAGTAAGGGCCGCAGGCCCACACACCGCGGGAAATCTGGGGTGGGCGGGTCCGCTTCTCCAGGATCTGGGAGGAAAATAACTCGGTCTCTAAGCAAGCTAGTGCCTGTGTTGTGGCTGCAGGTTCGCCTATGCGATGGGCACGGCTGCTGGCGGACGAAATCCCGAAGCCGCTCCGCGTGAGACAACCCAGCCTGTAGCAACCGGTCCTGTGCCACTTACATATACACTCGCTGTTCCTGGATCCAGTGGCGGCAGATCTTCCGAGGGACTCCTTCCCGCAGGGTGAGTTCACTTATTCTCCTTCGCCGATCTTAGTTCCTGAGCCCGCCACCGTAGATCTTGAGAATTGTTGAAAATCTAGTTTTGAGAAAGTAGGCCTGCCGACAAAACTGAAGATCCACGTAGTAGCTTTCTCCGCAAAACAGTTGAATTGAATTGACTTAACGGTCCCGTTGTCTTGTCAACTGCTTAGGTGATTGTTGGATCTGAAACCACCGAATAGGTACCAACTGCAAGAGCCGGAGTACGACAGTTGCTGCCTGGGTCCAGTCGAGATAAAATAGAAAAAACATCAAGCCTTGATGATGTCCGATTGCTCAGAAGTGAGTCATAGAGTTGGGGCCGCAGGCCCACACACCTCCTAGACCTCCCCAAAATCCCTCCATCATCCCACAAGTGACGTGTCATCTTGCAGGGAGTGGTGGAACGAGCGAATGAGCGATGGAAGCTGGCGGCAGAAGCGAGCGACGTCGGAAATAGCGGGGAGCTATCAAGCGGGGCTAGAATGGAGTAGCAAGCTAATAGAAGAGTTTGGACCTGGAAAGCGATGGCGGAATGGGATGAAGAAGTTGCTGCTTGGACTAAATGAGTGGTTAGAACGAAACGAAGTGGGCAGGAGCTGCATGACGTGTAATGATTTGAATGTTATATCTTTCCTAGGAAGCCAATGGTTAGTGGAAATTGAGAGCAGATGTCAGACTACGGATAGTGATGGTGAACCAATGGTTTCTCCGTCGACTGTAGATGCGGTTGTGAATTGCTTAAGTGGGGCTTTCAGATTGCTTGGAAGAGAGGAAGGAGATGATCCTTGCCAAGGAAGTCAGATAAAAACATTTCGGAAAGCGTACAGGGAGTATGCGTTGGCGAGAGGGGTTATGGAAGAGTCGGCACGACCACTTATTTGGGAGAAACTTAAGGTTGTAATTGACTATATACGTAATAAGATAAAAATATTGAAAAGGATGCGAGAAGCAGAAACTTATCGAGATGCTGCTATGTTTTTATATTTGTGGGAGAGTTGGCAGCGGTGCGGAGAAGGTCTGAGATTGCAATACAAAGAGATTGATCTTGGGAATTCCCTTATGCGACATGGATATACTAAGACAAATCGTCAAGGGGGTCAATTTCTCATACGATTAAGGAAAGCTGAGGAAGGTGAGGAGACTTTTTTACGGATTTTGTCAGAACTGATAATTGCATATGAGGTTCTAGGCTTGGATTTACGCACAGGTTACTTGTTTCGTGCTGGCCGGGGTGTCAATGCACTAGGTGGGTGAGATTTTAATAAACGAGTTGAGAAATGGTTCGGAGAGGCGGGAGTGTATGAGGGCGAGAGCGGTCATAGCTTCCGGATTGGGGGCTTACAAGCAGGGATAGAGGAAGGATGGAGTTTAGGGGAAATGATGAGGCAGGGGACGTGGAGTAGTGTGGGAACATTTATGCGTTATGGGTATGGAATGAAGAGGGGATGGAAACGGAGCGGAGAAGAGAGAGAGGTAGATGAGAGGATCTGAAAAAAAGACTAAGTGGAAAATAGTATGCAAGCAAGGCCGATTTTGGCTGGATTGGGACACGAGTGATGGACTCTGGGGCTGGAGATACATGAGTAAATTGATTTAGGAATGACGAAGGAACGTGAAACTTTAAGGGAGAGGATGCGTGGTAGCCAATTTGCTTTTTGCGAGTCCGGAAAAAAAAGGAGGTAGGTAGCAAGAGCTGCAGAGGCAAGAGTCAGTACTTCATGCAAAAGAGAAGTTGGGGGAAAAAGTCATCTGTAAGGTAAATGTGGAAGAGTGTTCCAATCAAGAGAAAGGGCATCAACGAAAGTAGCTGATGAAGACCATGTTCTTGAAATAAAGACTGGGCAGGCGTGGTGGTAATCTGAAGCGAAGAGGTCGATTGCAGGGGCGCCTATTGAATTGAAGATGGTGTTTTTGAGGTGGGAAGTGATACCCCAATCTGTGTTATCCTGAGTTTTAGACAGTTCATCTGCGATTTGGTTTAGATTTCTCGGAATCCAGATCGAAAAAAGATAAGTATCGTGAGAGATAAGCAGAGAAGAAATGAGACGAAGCCAATGGTTAAGGATCTTAGGTTATTGAGAAGAGCTATCGAAGATTGACTGTCCGAAAGAAGCCTGATTGCGGAAGAATGAAGCACATGAGGGTGAGAGTTTTGAAGTAGTAGGAGAGTTTGGAGTACTGCAAATAACTCCCTATGCGTAGAAGTGGTTGGGAGAAGATAGGAGGGGAGACATTGATTAAAATAAAGCGGAGGACCTGAGGAAGGAGTAATAATGACACCTATTTGGGAAGCTGATGCGTCAGTAGAGATAGTAGAGGTAATTGTTCTCTTAGTCCAAAGCCTGCTTGGAAGGTGGGGTAGCTGATCCGTCCACCAGATGAGGTCCTGGATTAATGAGTTTGATATGGGAATGGGTGAGTCCAGTTAGAAGGAGAGATAGCTTCATAGATGGATGAAGTGAATAAGAGAGCCGACAGAAAAGTTTGTGAGAGAGAGGCAAGTTTTTCAACGAGTTTTGCTAGGGTTCTGCTCGAAGGGGTAGAGTGGAATGTGGAAGTGATAAGGGCTATGATCTTTTCTGCTTTGTTTCCCGGAACTCTGACTCTTTTAAAATGAGAATCGATCTTAAAATCAAGGAATGTAATGGATTCAGATGGTAGAAAAGAACATTTATTGAGGCTGAGAAAAAATCCTAAGTTGTGGAGGAGGGCCACATAGTTGAATGTTTGTCAGAGAAGAAGGGGAAGGTTTGAGTTTGCTAAGGCAGAATCGTCAATGTATGAGGTGATAAAGATATGACGGGTACGGAGTTCTGCCATAATTTTTTGCATTACTGTAGTAAAAATCCAGCATGCGGCGGATATTCCAAAACAAAGCGTTGTAAATTGATAAGTATTCCTATTCCAGGAGAAGGCGAGATAAGATCTGTATTCTGGGTGAACTGGAATGTGATAGTAACCGTTTTTTATATCAAAAGAGGTAAAAAAATCTTGTATTGGAGATCCCGAAAGTGGTGCTATTAGATCGTTTATAGATTCATAATGGAACTCTAGAAAGGAAAGGAAGAGATTGACAAATCTAACATCTAGAATAAATCTTGTTTTGGATGAGCTTTCAATGTCAAAGACAGGATTGACTACCAGAGGGTTGGGTGAGTGTTCAATGACACCATAAGAAAGCAGTTGAGATATTGAGGAGGTAATGAAGGTATTATGATGAGGGAGAAGGGAGTGATTAGGGATTGAAGTAGGAGGAGGTTTTTCACACAAAAAAACTTTTTTGAAGGCGGAGGCAGAATAGACCTTTTTTACCATGTATCGGACTTCAATGATCTTTTTAACAGGAATATGCTTCGTTCCTACAAAGTTAAGCCTGACACCATGTTGGATCCATTGTCGAACAGAGTGAGAGTATCTTCTCAAAGAAGAAGATAAAAGGAGTAACCAATTACTAAAACAGTGCGAAGGAGATGCGACAAAAAAGTTGTCTGGGTTGCGTAGCCAAGATGAAGGTTCATGAAGAGCAAAGGAGGCGAGGCGGAGTTGCGAAACTGAAGGAGTGGCGGAGAGGTTGGAAAGGATTAATGAAATAGATGAAATTTGAAAAGGCGGCTCATTTGTCGGAGTGTCTGGCTGGGTCTGTTGTGGAGGAGGAGTGGTTGCTTTTGGGGTCCAAGTCGAGATGAGGACGCTTAGTGGAGCGGTTGAAGTCGTAACCCCTGTTTGATTTGTCTTCGTAATGGCGCTTAGAGGAAGGCTTCTTGAAGTCTTCAGTCTTGCCGATGTCATCCTTCCTTCGGCTTGAAGATGGTTCCGATTCCGACTTGCCATATCTGCATTTAAAGATAAAGAAAAAAGATAAGCCCATAAATGCGAACGGCGTGGACCTATTTAGCGGTCCAGGGCGATAAAGAATCATAATAGCGGCGACTGCCTTGAACTTACCTAGAGTGGTCTCTTCTTGCAATGTTTAAGCAGTAATTGAACTCTGATTCGATGATGGGGAGCGCCTTCTCCATTCCTTCCCGGATGACCTTGCTAAGAGTTGCCCTTGTATCTTTTGAAATCTTGTGATCCACACAGTCCTTTGCTACTGAAGCAACTCGAGTTGCAAAGTCGCTTGCCATAGCCTTGCCAACTGGATAGTAATAGTAGTTGAGGTTGATAGTAAAAAAACGAATGACCACAGCAATCTGGTGATGCCAGGCTGGTGCGCAGAACATTTTGTACCAGGCTTGCAGTTCGTCGTAAGAAGGGCCAGACTTATCCGCGATACAGATTTTGATTGCTTCCATGTCAGAGAGTAGATTCCGATAGAGTTCATTTGCT